GAAACGTTAGCCAAATAAACTTGTAATATCTTGGCGGTGGTTTCAACATCTTATCAAAAAGACCTCCAAAAAGATCTTCCTGACACGCCCCACCATACGCAGCGAACAGGACTGCAAGTGTTCCACCCAATATTTTGAGAGCACAGGAGGTTCTACGAGAACCCAGTTCCGGGGAGGGGTTATCTCGAGTGGGCGGAGCCTCTTACGACACGTTTTATACTCGGGCGCTTTTGCCGTACTGAAAAAAAACACTGACTTACCTCAACAAGCGATGAATCTCGGGAGAAGAGCTTTTTAGGCGTCAGATTTATGGGGATTTGGGTTATACCCTGAAAGAACTGTCATTCGAAGAAGCTTGTATGCACGCTGAACACTGGCTGAGAACAGACCTTGACAGAAAACACCAAGAAGGATAACCACACGACAATCATAATTATGTCGAATACTTTAGCGGTCACAAGGCTAACGTAGCTTTCCATAAATGAGCTGAATCGATCATTCACCAGTTCCCGGAATGAAGCCATCGACGACTGCAACGGATAAGTACGGTATGTGGATATGGATGGCCCCTGATTGGTTGCATTGGTGATGCGACTAATAGGAGAAGAACAACCTACCTTGTCCAAACTTACGTTAACTTCGTCGGTTCCGCACTCAACTCGTTGTGTGAGACTCTGTTTCCGTTCGTTCTCGAGTTCAAAGTTCCCGGCGAGGACCATTACGGCACTGTAGAGAGTGATCTGGAACGTGGGGAGCAATTTTGGAGCTTCACTCCTTCAGAAGAGGCACTTACCTGATAAATAAAGTCAACGAAAATACAGGCAGCGTTACCGTAGCACAGTAACGTTATCTCTGGTGAACTCGTGAATGCTCCGACGGCATCAGCTGACATATTCGTCAAAGCGCTGATCATTATGGCTGGACCAGTGTCAGACAGGACCTTAAACAATGACATTAGTCTCTGTTTGGTCTACGGCACCCTGTAGGATTCGCTCACCTGGGAGTTAAGTACTTGCGCACTGTCACACAAACTAACATTGGCTAAGAAATAGAAATGCAGAACAAGTTAGTATACAGCTGATATGGTCGCAATCCGGCCGGGCGGTGCCAGGAGGCGAGGAATGAGCCCGTCTGCGGCTGTATTCTCCACCAATAGTGATCGATCCAGTAAGAAAAAAGCCAGTGGTGGAAAACGCCGCGGGCGAGCTCATTCCACGTCTCCTTGGCACCGCCTGAAAAAACCGCGACGATATCAGCCATACGTAAATGAGAATCCCCAAAGGTGAAAGGATGCTCATTTACAATTGTGTTTCGCTTTACGTCTTCAGAAGCACAACATCCCGATCATGGAGAGGGACTATCTTGAGAGGCGAGGCTCCCTTCACTCCGTAATTATTGAATGGGCGGAGTCTCATAAACATTTAGTCTTCTTCATTGATGCGCCCTCATCTTTGAAGGTAGTGAGTGCGATGGCTGGGGGCGGGCACCTACTGAAACATCATTGGTAGGAGGGCTGCGACAAGCCACACCCCACTCAGCTCTCCCACCAATGACGTTAGCAGTAACTGCCCACCTCCAGCCACCGCGCGCACTGCCTTTAACGTACTATAAGGTTAGAAGGCGCAGTAATTCTGGAACCCACCCAGCTATTACAGATTGTGTCTCTAAGTCTGGGAACAGCCTAACCAAAACTCATTTCTAATCGTCAAGTCAAGGCTGCAGAAATGGATTATGGCCTATGACTACGACAGATTCATGTCTATTAGAACCTTACCTGAGCTAATCGATAAGCAGCACAGTCCCCTTTAACTGGATTTTCTCTCAACTCCTTTGTGATTCCTTTGCCATGAGTGAATCATCAAGTAAGCGTCGTCCACTCCTGTAATTCTAGTTTTTGAAATATTGTGACGTGTTTTCCAAGGAAACAAAAACCACTAGAAAAGCTGGAAGGCTATGGGCTTTCAATCAAAACAACTCGCAGCGCGTGTATGTATGTAGATATGCGTGCTGGATTTGGAGGGACAGTTCGGCACGGGGGGAGGTATTTTGCACTTTGGCTGCTCCAGCACTTCCGGTTTATCTAATCTGGTGAGACCTGTGAACTGCTGTGTAGCTAGCTGGAGCTAGCTCGAGCCATCGTGATAGGAAACAGCCCTTTAGATGGCCCGATACGTCGATCGGAAGTAGCAAAAAAGCAAAATGCCCCCGCCGTCGCAAAAATGCGCCGATTTGGAATATTACTTACAATTAGCCTTAGGTGGAGTATGGATTTGATGACATGAACGTGTGATGATGGGCGCAGTTCGGCTTGGTGGGGGCACCAAATACTCTTCAGCGGAATACGTACATGCCACCTTTTAAGACCTACGAATTTCCGTAAGCGAAGTGGCTCATTTTAAACACTTTGCACCTTCAGAAGACTTTACAGGTCTCTCCAAAATGAGACCTGTTAATCAGCAGGAGCTAATAAAGGGAACTAGCTAGCGGGCGAAATGCCCCTCCATGAGCCGCACAGCGCCCGACGCTATAAATGATTTTGTTATAGTGCGAGAACTTCACGGTTTCATTTTCTTACCCGATATATAACGTTACAGCACTATTGTCAATCAGGGCACGTCGTCCATTGGGGAATCCCCACAGGGAAGCCATTGGGGAACCTCAACTGGGAACGTGTTCAATCACTAAAGGGGAGGGGGAGAGAACTTGATCTGAGAAATTTTGTTTGATTGTCGACTTTTCTCTTTTCAGGTGCGCTATGCCCACTTCCCCCGCACACAAACTCCCCCCATGATTTTACAACGGCAGGGACCCACCCTGTTCTAGATGGTTTCTAGTTAGAATATCCTCCATTGATTCTCGGGGAACTGATAGGATAAATGAGTACTAACCAATTGCCAAAACAAGAAACGGTGTCACGCATAGAATGGATCCGAAGCGGACTCCCATGTAGAACAGAGCACCGAGTGCTGTGCCGCAGGCCATGAACGGGCATATGCAGGCCATAATCGCCAAGGAGAACTGAAAAGTGAGATAATAAGTTGCTCAGTGACCGTATGGGTGGGTTTCCAGATCGTAAACCAACTGACTCACCTTGTGAATACTGGTCTGGCCCATGAACGCTGCACTCAGAAACGTTGTCAATGTAGAAACACATGCCATGATAGCGAAGCCGACAACCAAGAATGGCAGCAGACTCATTCCGGCCCGAACCACCTGGAGCAGGGATATTTCACATTATGTGTCCTAAGAAGGTGCAGTTGTCATGGTCACAAGTCGGAGCGGGGTCAGGAGGCATTGGATGCATTTTGAACCGAACACTATTGGTAGGAAACGCAGCCGAGGGCGGGCTCACTGCAGATTTCCCGGCACCGCCCCGAGTGACTGCATCAATGGCAACTGTAATCACCACACATGTGACCTAAACACCTTGTGTTTTTCTAGCAAACTGGTCCCAATCGTGGAGTTAAGTGACGAGGTGGGGCAAAGAAACTGGATCACGTATTTCTCAGCTCGTCTGCAGTCTTTCAACGGGATAGCATGTGCCTGTGCCGTCTCCCATGAACCATAGCATTAGAGAGTGCATACGAGCAGGGAACAGCGCAGTCTTATCCCACCCGCTGACTCCCCCAAGGTAACAACCTCTACCCATTCACATTTAGGTGAGAGTTAATAAAAACCGTGTCGACGGGCGTCAGCGTGACGAGCATTTCAAAGCAGCGCCAGCTCATTTCGTGCGCACAATGCGTATGCTCGCCTCATACTGCAGCAGACTGTTGGGAAACGACGGCCCCAATGCAATGCTGACATCCCCATCGTATCGGATTGTAGAAAGGGACTGCAGCGGAACAAAGTAGTCGATATAAACTTGCCTCAATTTCCACAAATGATGTGGAGAGGGTAAGGAGTCGTATCGTGTCGGACTTGTACTCTCTGAAAGGAATAAATTAAGTCATCACAAAAAGGACAGATGGTTCGATTTTCCTGCTTTTCCTCTGATACCCACAAATCCCTGCATACGACAGGGTCCGTGAAAACCGCTGTGTGTTCGGAGCGCAGACAGCAGTCGTGCCATCTTGAGACTGCTACAACTGATAGAAAATGTGCCTTATCAGCGGCTGCGAGCATGCCCCGTCCTTAACGGCGCCTAATCAATTGGAGCAGATGTACTTGCAGGAGGCATGGTCTGATTAATACCATCAAAGCCAATCTAGCGGTTCAACCTCACATCAAAAATTCTTACCGCCACTGCTGTTCGCGGTTATGCGCTGTGAATCGTTGCTTACTAATGTGTGATATCGGCTTCTCGGAGGCGTTGGAGCCAGCGTACAGCACGTTGTGCGAACACAGGGGGGGATGCCGTACTCGGACAGTTCAAAGGGCGGGGCGTATTTGTGTTTGTTGGGAGATATCGAGGTAGTAATATTGCTTCTGAGAGAAATTTCCACGTGTCTAAAAATTTTCTCTGTTCTTGACTTTTCAGCGGGTTTTTCCGCGTTTCATATTATTCATCACATTTGCCATAATACTCCCCTATAAGCCCCCCCCCCCTTGCACCGCTCGAACGGAAATTCCTTGGGATGAAGCACCAAAGTTCTAAGGAATCTCGAAAAAAAACTAAAAATAGAAGGATGGGAAACACGTAAGGAAAAAGGTAGGTAGCGTGTTGAGAAAGCAACTTTTAATCCGAAGAACGGAGCAGACACACATGATACCGATCAATGGCTCCCCGTTTCACGAGTGGCATTGATAGCCACTGTGGCTCCCATTTTTCATAGCGAAAATCAACTGTGTGGCGTATTCCGAAGCAATCGAGTGTATCAAGAGGCAGACCTGATCCAACAGGGTCGCCCACCTTGACTAAAAAAAGGATTCAGACGTACTTCTCGAAATAATCCGTGATGCTGAGCTCGAAGTCCTTCACCATTTGCGTGGTCCATCCTTCCTTTCGTTCGGCGCGTAGTTGAAGCGCTATCATCTGAACCCTTGCAATATTAAGCTGATTAGTATGACAAGTCTTTGTGATCAGTCTAGAGCCTACAGCCTGAACGTTTTTAGAAAGGGTATAAAATCAACCGATTCTGACCAGGCAGACAATACAGACCACTCCGAGAGTCTGCAGATCCCTATGAGCCTTACCCGGCCTAGGTTTGACTCGAATTTGAATTGGTATTAGGGGGCAAATGTGATTCACGGCAAAATATTCCTACATTGGCCGCAAGCTACGGTCACCTGATCCACGCCACGTGAATAAAAGTTGGCGCAGTTCGGCTTGGTGGGGGCACCAAATCACTTTCAGTAAGTTTGCACAGGTCACCTTGCGATGACTTGCAAAGCCTTGTGAGGAAGCTCACTAAGAGAGTTACGGAGCTTCGCAAGAGTTTACAGGTCTGACCAAAGTGAGACCTGTTAGTTAACATGAACTAGCAAAAGGAACTGGCGGAAGTGTAGAATGCCCCTTCTGAACCAAACAGCGCCCAAATATTTATGAGAGCATGAGCTATTCATCAGAAGGACTACCAGAAACATAATACTCCTTGACTGGAAATCGGACCAACTGGTCCTCACATTCCAGTGAACAACTCGTTTACGGTTTGACTGAACAACCCGTTCCTAGCCACGTTCATACTTAGAGAATGTGGCAGTATCCTCTGTTGACTTTAGGGCCACGGTTGAGAAAAAAATGTTTGGACTTTCCAAAAGGTTCTACAATATTCAAAATATTAGTTACCTTAGCTGAGATCATTTTCGGATTGCGTTTCACCATCGTGGTAGCTGTCAAATTGTCGAGCGGTACTTCGTCTGGGACGGTGTCGTTGAAGCCCAAACCGAAGAAATGTGGCTGGAACAGTACTAATGAATAAACTACACTACTATGCTATAATTTACTTTCTAACTTCACTAGAGAACGCTTACCTGTATATTCATCCGCCGATTATAAAACGTACTAATCGGGAATGCCAACTCGATTCTGTCATTGGTTGCAGTACCACCTTCGGCTAAGGACTTTTGTAGGATGAAGCCATTCTGAATGTGAAACATTTTATGCTTGCTAGTAATTTGTAAATTAAAGGCAGTTGGCACGATGGTTTCCTACTTAGCCTAAAATGCTAGTAGGGCGCTGTATAGTGGGGAAATGGCGAAAGAACGGAGTGAAACGGTCAAAATCCTGCGAAAAAAGCCTCCGTTCTGTGACTTGTAAATCGATTTCGGACGAGTTTCCC